TTGTTAAGAAATTGAGGCTCACTTTTTCACGAAAAATAAGAAAAACGGGTTAAGAAACATAGCTCAATCTGGGTCACACAAAAAGAAATGTCTCAATACGAAAGGAAGGGAGCGGGAGGCGCAAAAGGGTGACAACCCCCTATGTTCGCCTCACGGAGCTTGCAACATAATGGCGGGGTAGTTTTCATTGTTGGTACTTCAGCGTGCGGGTAGGGCATCATGCGGTGTTTATGCATTTGTTTAGTTTCAGCCCTCACTCATGAGGGGGGTACAGGACCTTGTAGCGATAGCGAGACGTTGCCGCTGGATACATTTCGCTTCTAGGGAGTGACCTTACGTGCAGCCGTCGGTAGTGAGAATCGGGGTTGAGTGCGGGGGTCGAGGAAAGCAGTGCAAATCAATTGTATAGACTATTTGGAACGTTGTGTAGTATGCAAGCAGAGAAATAAGAAATTGCCGATTTAAGAAATTCAGCAGGATTTGGCTGCACGAAAAAATAAGAACCTTCAAATAAGAAACTGAACGACATACGCTGAGTTTATAGCCCACAATAAGAATTCGAGGCTGGACCTGAAATAAGCGTTTCTTAAGTGCGGCCGCCAACTGTAGTAGATACCTGCGCGTTTCGTCTCACTTGATATTCGGAACGCTATTTTTTACATTTTTCTTATAATAAACGTATTTATCGTTGGACACATTGCCCGGGACCACACAGACGGACGCCGCACAAGACTTGACATTCATTTTATTGCAGCACTGCTGTCGCAAGAAAAAACGATCGGGTTCAAAGCAGACTTGGCCCTTGACCAAGAGGGCGATGTGGTTGGCCCTGACAGCCTGGAACAGCTGTGCGTGCGTACTAGAGAGCGGCAGGTTCCAGCAGCGTCTCGCTCTTTCGTCATGGAAGACAGCTTTCTGTGAACGTGACCTACACAAAGCGTCCGACCGATGTCTGCCGAAGACAACTCCCCTCTTTTCTCCGTTCAATTGATCTCTCTCTATTGCAATGTAAACAAACCAGACCGCCCAGCTTCGAACGAACGACCGGTGCGTTCCGAGAGAGAACTGCCAGAAAACCGCAGCCGTATGCGATCGCCTTTACCTGAGCCGAAGAATCCGCTCGTTAAGGACCGCTTTCGCATCCTCGGACAGCCCATCCACCTTGTACACCGCACACAACCTCGATGGCTTGAAGATTTTGGCGTTGAACATTACCACCGGAGGGATGTTTGCGATCCCGTACTGTTTTTTGAGGCGCGCGTAGGCGAGGTTTTACCAACAATGGGAGTGAAAAAACAGGATCAAGGTTGGGGAGAAGACTGGGGGGCCAGGATGGGTAAAATACCCGTTTGGGTACAAAAGGGCACCCCGCAACGCGCAGTTGTTTTCACGATCGCACCATGCATCGGCGTTGGCAAAATGCTCCTGTAGTTCGATACAATCGATCTGTCATACACAAAGTAAAGCGCTGAGATGGGGCCGCATGGTAGCCCAGACCGTACGACAGGAACAGTCGCCGTCGCAGGGTTTTTCGACGAATGGAATGCAAAACATGTTGAATGAAGCTTGCAATCGGGGACATTAGGTTAGGGTTGGGGATAGGGTCTATTGTACCCCTCCCTGGTCTACTTCCTCACAGACAAATTTCTCGCGAAGGCGGTCCGACAGGAAATAGAGAAGATGACCAAATGAAAGCACAAAGCGGTAGCACCGCTGGCAGGACTCCTAGTATTGAGAGTATACTTATGCCTCTCGTGGGACACCGGAAAATCAGTCGTTTCTCAGTCTCGAGGATCAGAGCACAAGATAGATGAATAGATTGCTGCCCGTGGACCAGGCAAGCGCTTAAAGTCCACGACGTGACACGTGACGCCGGGACAAACTACACCCGCACAAGTTTGACGTCCAGAAAGCAACAACGACAACGACACAGCAGCAGTTTTGTCACCTGTTCGTTCAGGAAGTATTTCTCCTCGATGTCTTTCGGCATTCCCTGGGGGGTGGCTTGGCTGTACGGCACCGGCTGGAAGATCTCACCTGATTTCCAGGGTCATCGTACGGGTGGGGAGCAGTCGTGTCGTCAGACAAACAAAAAATGCAAAAAAAACGTTTTTTTAAGGACACAATAAGCTCTACTCAAGGCAAAACGGTCGCTCACAGCAGTGTACTACGCTGCGCGGCCACCATGATTGGTCACAGATGCCGACGTGATGAAATGCAACTCTTGTGGCGCACCCGCACCCGCGCTCGTACTAGTTAGCAAAACGCACGCATGCCACGACAGAAGCAGCACTTGGACGAAACCGTAATCGTGTACATTGGCTCACCGACGTATTCCGCGCTTTCGCAGTCGAATTGCTTGCACACCTCCGCGATCATGTCCTTATGCCGAAGGTACCCGTCCAGGGTAGCCGCCGTCTGAACGAAACACCGCCAGCCACGGGAGAACGTAAACGGAGAAGACATGGGAATTGCCGGGTTTCGTCAAGTGCTGTTGAGAATCCGTAGGTCTTCCGACACGAACGATGAGATCGTAGATAGAGTGCTCGGCAGCGTTGACAATAAAAAAAAACAACCACCGCCACGAAGCAAAGGCGCATCAAGACACGGATGGATGCACGCCCGCCCCAGGTTATAACGGACTGGCGGAATATCAAAAGGCCGTCCAAGGAGCTGATGATCAAGCTCAATTTGTGGATATTCCTGATCGCGAGTTGTGCCCGGGTGGCGGTGGAGGGGGGGGGGGGCGTACTCCTTATGTTTTGCATGCCATAGCGGCTAGACCATTGACCACGCGTCCTCGAGAGGACGGAGCATTGTTCCCACAGGACCGATCACCGATGGCCAATCGTTCCTT